CCGCTCTCTAAGAACGTATTAACCGTTGGATGGAAAGTCAAATCGGACGGCGGAGACCGTATTTCCGGCCTAACTGTTCAGTTATAAATATTTTGCAATAACTAATTTTCTTTTTTTAGAAAAGTATATAAGTTCGATCCTATTTTTCCTGCAAAATTTTCACACCGTAACTTGTCTCTTCCCTCTGAAACCTTCGCCACCACCTTCTTCCTCTAAAAATGGCGGATTCTTCTTCCACCTCCGAATCTTCATCTTCTTTAGCTTCCGTTTCCGTGTTGTCCTCTGCCGCCGCTGACTCCGCTCCGCCGGATTCCAATGCGGGATCTCTGACGGCGATCCAAGCCTTATCCTCAATCGTCACAACCACAACCATCCCCTCCTCCCTCCCTCTCCTCCTCGACGATGCCGCCGTATCCGCCGCGATCTCCTCCCTCCTCCGCCGCCCTAACTCCGGCGCCGGCGATAACAACCTCTGCAGGTGGCTCTACGACACATTCCAATCCTCGAACGCTTCGCTCCAACTCCTCGTTATCCGCTTCGTCCCCATAATCGCCGGCCTCTACCTCTCCCGCGTCCCTCTCCGGCGGAATCAGGCCGGTTTCGAGGCCGTCCTCCTAGCTCTCTACGCGCACGAGACGACCTCACGCGCCGGTGTCTCGGTAACGGTCAACATCCCAGATCTCTCTCACCCAAGCGTCTATCACGAATCCATGGGATTTAACAGGAACAACGCCACGAGTCTCAACATCGCCGTCATCTCTCCGACGCTCGAGCCTCACGGGACGGTGAGATCCACGCGCCGCGCGAGGATAGTCGGCGTCGCGCTCGAGCTCTTCTACAGCAAGATCACGAGAATGCCACGCGAATCGAAGCTCGATTTCTGCGAGTTCTGCGAGATCTGGGCAGGGCAAAACGGGGAAACAGAGGACGAGGAATCTCAATCGATCACCGCCGGAACAAACCCAAACCTGACTGATTCCGGCGGAGACGAAAACGCCGGCGGGAGACCGGAGAGAGACAACGGAGTACGGATTCCGCTGCCGTGGGAGCTTCTGCAACCGGTGCTGAGGATCGTAGGGCACTGTCTCTTAGGGTTGAAGATCGAAGACAGAGAAGTCTCCGACGCAGCGAACAAAGCGTGTCAGAGTCTGTATCTCCGATCGCTCCACGATCTAAACCCTAAGGCGATTCTGGCCACCGGAAGTCTTCTCCGGCTCCGGGAAATGGCCATCGACCCCAAGAACCAGAACGATTTCACGGAGATCGCTAACGACGCCGTTATCTCCGTCTAATCGCCGTCCACCGATTTTTCTTTTTCATTTTCTAAATTGAAAGAAAAAAAAACCATTTTTTGTCTGACAAAAAAATAAAATTAATTATGTTAACCTTGCACGTCTTTTTCTTAAAAGAAAAAATATATATTTCTGTACCACACCACGTTCACGTTGAAACCAGTACCATGGATTTATACAATAAGACCAAAAACTATAAACATTTAACGTTACATACACATCTTCTCAAAATTTTAAGCATTTTTTATTTTTTTATCACATTTTTAAAATGAGAATTATTTCTTAAATATGAAAATCCCATTGACTCTAATGACGTGTTAGAATTAAATTTGGAGGTTTGACAGACAAACTGTATATGGATGATATTAAATATATATATTTGATCATGAATAATATTTTCTAAAAACACATTTTCAATCAAATAAAGGGTTTTTTATTTATGAATATTTCAAAAACTTTTAATGCAGTCATTTTGAAATAAATACTATTTACCAAAATTATGGTGTTGAAGATGAGACTGTAGAAATGTCAACAACTAATTAGTTATGAATTTTGTTTTATTCCCCAAATGAAATTACTTGTGTAATCCGAATCTTGACCCATCGGATAATCCGATTACCCGCGCTCCGTCACACAGTTCACTGTTTAAGCTTTTTCTACTGCTCCGCTTTCTCCTTCACACGTTTCATTTTCTCCGGATCTCTACCATTTTCTTTTCGTTTCCTGAATCTTTCCCGGAAAATCCCAATGTATACCCTCGTTTAGTTTCAGATGTGATAGTTCTGTCTCTGGCTCAGAACGAAGCTTTATATTGACCTGCAATCACAGAAACGGAGCGCGAATTTTTTTTGCTCCAGAGGGAAGTCCATAGACTCTTCGTATTTCTTCTTTTCTTTTTCCATCTGGAGAGTAAGAGTATGGATAGTTTCAGCGCGGAGGATCTGTCGACGATCGGCGGAATCGCGACAGTTTCGCTTCTGCATTCGTTTATTCCGACGCACTGGTTGCCGTTCTCCATTGTCGGACGTGCTCAGAAATGGACGCTTTCTCGAACACTATTCGTCAGTATGTTCTTCCTCCATGCTTCTCTTCATTTCTGGGTTTTTCGTTATTTATGTGCATTTCTTGGCTGCGACTGGAGTTTTGTATGGTCGATATGGTGATGCACATTTGACGGTTTCTCTGATATTTGATGAGTCGATAATGTTTTTCGGTTGATTCATTGCGTAATCGACAATGGTATCTGCACCGCATCGGATAGATTAAGCTGTAATCAGATGTATTGGAGCAGAATGAGATGGTAACCCTGCTGCTTACGGAAGAATAAGGTAATATATGATGTCTCTTTTGTATGTGGGAGCTGATATGAAGCCCTTTTGTGTCATGGAGTGTTGATGGGAGAATGTGATGGTTGGTTCCCTGAAGGTGGATGGGAAGGCTGGCTTTTGGATTAAGACTATTGTTCATAATGTCGGTGGCCCGGAAAGTTGGGATTACTTTCTTAAGGTGCATAGTATTTTGCTAGTGAAAGCCTTGAGGATACATCTTGGGTCGCTTTCGATCCTAAAGAGTGAATAGAGAGTTGGGTTTATCCATTTTTCATCTCCTGTGAATCGCCTTATTTGCTTTCTAAGCAAGAACATCACTTGTTTGGGAGATCAAGTTTGTTTCTTAGGGGTTAGTTTGCTCATGGCACCTTTAGGAAATGCCGGGAACCTGTTCTACGATTTTAGGACACGAGTTTCAGGTTTCGCTCTTGGCTTGCTTTCCCTGGTAAACAGGTCTCTGGAATTAGCCATCTTAACCACTTTAATGTACTTCTTGAGCTTAATAAACTTGATACGAAATTTGGTTGCATGGTTTGATTACCAGATTATTATGTACATGCCCAAATGCAAACAGGCTTATGTGTGTGCATATACTTACAGACACGACTCAGATTCTTGTCCTTTCTGATGTTTCTAATGTCAATTTATGTTTCAGCTGCATTTGGGGCAGTCCTGCATGTCATATCCACTACGCTCCTGGGTATAACAGCAATCACTATTTCAAACACCATTGCCGGTGAAGAGACAGTTCACAAGCTGGCTTCCCTTTTGCTTGTGATTCTTGGTGGATGCTACATCATGATGTTTTTATCTGGAAAGGGTGGTCACACTCATTCTCACAACCAACCTATGGAGAAAATGGCGGTTGCTGGGCTTGTCCTCGTTCCTGCACTATCTCCTTGTGCAACTACCCTTCCAGTTTTCCTTGCTGTCGGAAATTCAAAGCCCATGATGGTTCTTGCTATCATAGTTCTGTTGATAAGGTTAGAAAAACACTCCTTTTAGTATTTCACTCTGCTTTTGTTTTATGGTTTATACTGGATTGTCCGTTCAAGACATGAATGGTACTTACAAGGCAAAAAATGGAAGTACAGTTTATGATTTTGCAGTTCCCGTGTTTTTGACATACCCTTTTATTGATGCATTTTGTTCCTCTCAAATAGAGTTAGTTCTTCTTGTCTAAATCGAATTACGACTATACACCGATAGATTACACCTGTAGAAGAAGAATCTCTTCCATGGATTGTATGGATGGTGCAGCCAACTAAATTTCTACCAATGCAAAAAGACACTAGACTTTGGGAATCATTTGCATTCAAGCTCTTGTAGGATTTTCTTTAACCGTGCATTCGGAGAATTGCTTCTCGTTCTGACTTGTAGCTTACTTAAGTTGATAAGCAGATATCGACTTTTTTTGGCAGCACCATAACCGTGATGGTATCGCTGGTGGCACTATCATTCTACGGGGCAAGCCAGCTGAAATTTCACTGGGTGGAACGCTACGATAAACTCATCCTGGGTTCGGTTCTCTGCCTCGTAGGTATTCTAACGCTCCTTTTCCATGATCACGACGAGGGAAGTCACCATCTCCACCGGAAAATCATCGCTCTCTAGTAAACGGCATTTTCATCATATACAGTTTTTGTTTGTTGCCAGGCGTTGTTAGTAGCTCGGTAGCCGAAGAAGGTATAAAGTCTCTCTATCTCTACGTGAAAGCGCAGATGTTTCTGTATGTTCCAAGTTTAACGTCTTGTTACAGTTTCTGTCGCCTCTGATGAAAGATTTTAGCGGTATTGGCGTTAGAACTGTTGGAGATTAGCGTTTTGATGGCCTACGTTTCAGATTAGCGTTTGTAGCTGTAGCGGCTGTAGAGCTGGCTTTGGCCTAACTAAATTTTGTTTTTAAGAAAAACTACCATTTTCTTATATAGATTGTGTGAACGATCTTAAAACCTTTTAATTCATCAAAATTACTATTTTTGGATTTATGAATAGACAAAAAAAATATCTTCAACTTTAAAATATTAAACTTCAAACTCTAAAGAGAAAACCCTATTTATTTTTTTTTTGGTAAAAGAAAAAACCCTATTAAAGTAATAAAATGGTCTTTTAATTAGTTATGACAGCTATATGGAAAATTATTGTATATTTAAAAGGCATTTTCTGTGTTTGCTTCGGTTTTGTTTTCCCAAATCTAAAATAATGAGAATTTTGTAAAAAAAAAAATTGAGATAATTCAATATTGTATTGGGGCCCAGTGACGACGTTTATGGATATGTATGTATATATTTAGTGTAAGAGTGTGTATAGTTACGACATAAATAGAAACATTAGGGGAGTTGGTTAATATTCCAACACACGGGAATGATTTGAATTCTCTTGAAGACAAGCTTGTGGTGGTGTGGTCGAGTCAAATCGTTGACCATAAGCTCCTTCAATTCATACGTTATAAAAAAAGATTCTTATTCCACCGAATATATAAACAAATTGCAATATTCTTCTTTCATATTCTAGTGTACCCTAGTCTAATATTTGATTTCATAAGATCGTATAAATAGAAAATAAAAATTGATACAAATCATCTGACGTAACCCAATATGACCAACTTCGTTCAAAATAAAAATTTTAAAAATCTGGTACTCATAAAACCTTTTAATGTCATACATTATTAAATTTAAATTTTTTTATAAAAAAAACACGAAATGGAGATGGAATAATAGCACGGAGAAAGGGCAAAAAAAGAATGAGAAAAAGTGAAACCGAGTGATATTTCTCTCTAAATACGATCGCATAAACGTCTTCTTCTTCTTCCACAAAAGGGTTGAAACAACGAAACCCTAATCTCATCTCCGATCGGGAAGTTACCGGTCTCAGATTCGCGATTATCTCTCTCTGTAATTCTCTGAACATCGGACATGGCGGTGCAACGCGGTTTTAGGGAGCTTTTCGCTTTTTCGCTAACCCTAACCTTTGCTTGGGTTTACCTAGCGGAGGCCAACTCCGACGGAGACGCTCTTTACGCGCTTCGTCGGAGCTTGTCGGATCCCGACAACGTGCTTCAGAGCTGGGATCCGACGCTTGTTAATCCATGTACCTGGTTCCATGTCACCTGTAACCAAGACAACCGTGTCACTAGAGTGTAAGATTCTCTCTCTCCTCTCATCTGCCCCGAAATTTGCTCCTGGTTGGGAAAATTGATTCGTGGAGAATCTATGGAGTTGCCATTGGCGAAGATTTATTTCTGTTATATTACTCAAAATTGACTGTTTCTCTCCTGATGAATTTTCGCGCTAATTTTAGGACAGAAAATTCTGGGTTTCATGCTCTTTTAAAGTAAGATTAATAAAAGTGCTGTCTTGTTTCTCTCGAATCCTGGTTGACCTCAAGCATTATTTTAGTGGAGTCGTATCAAAACCTTCCGTATAACGTATAATCCTCCATCTAGCAATTGAAGGATTAACGTATAAACCTTCCGTATGATCTCTTGCCTTTATCACGAAAGAATTCATCTTTAAGGTGTAATTGCGTCTTGTGTGTGTTGCAATGGAGACAATTGGCTCTTTTGTTTCTGAGTCTGACGATAACTGTGTCGTTTCAAATTCGTCTGCTTTCTCTTATGGTATAAATTTGCTTTTGTATCCGTAAGTTGGGTTCCTGCGGGATTGGTTGGTCACAATGTGATCCTTGTAGCGGCTTCATACGAAGTAACATGAGATTTACTATGTTCTGCTTTTCCAGTATGAGAATTGCAAAGCCTGTTTCCCCCTGTTGGGCAAATAGATAAGATATATAATGAGAAGATTCTTCACATGTCATTGATAGTAATTCCATTTGTTTAGGGGTTTGATGTATTGATACTTCATACTTTTCGCTATGATGTTCCGGCTTCTTGTTTCATTTCTCCCTTTTCCAATCTTTTTGAGTTTTAGTTGGAGTCTGGAGTCTTTATGGTTGATTCCAGCTAATTATCTGTTGGTACTGTATCTACTGTTTGATGAATCAATATTAGTAGCTCGTTGGGTATCTAAAATAAACTTTTTTTCCCTTGTTGTACTTTCATTTTCTCTCTCCCTTTGATTTAAGAGATTGAAAAAGTGTTCCCAAGGCATATCTTTATTATGATTTTACTATTTTGCAGGGATTTGGGTAATTCAAACCTGTCTGGACATCTTGTGCCTGAACTTGGAAAGCTTGAACATCTACAGTATCTGTATGCCATCAGTCCTATGGATTTTCTTTTACTCTTTGATTTTTCTAACATCAGGTCTGATGTAATATAGATAGCAGACATCAAGCTCTGTGTCATGTACGGAACCAGAAGTGCCAAATTTAAGGCTTTCCATGTTATGTACAGTGAATTTTAACTGTTGAAATGCCCTTCTATTGATATAGAGAACTTTACAAAAACATCATCCAAGGACCTATACCTGCTGAACTTGGAAATCTGAAGAGCCTCGTCAGCTTGGACTTGTACAACAACAATCTCACGGGGAAAATTCCTCCTTCAATGGGGAACTTGAAGTCTCTTGTCTTCTTGTAAGTTGCTATTCCGATGTGATTCACCTATTTCTTCTGGTTCCTTTGATATTCGTACGAACATACAAAATTTGGAGAATCACTAGATGATTGTATGAATTCTAAGTAACAAAATAGCTGTTTATTCACTTATTTGCTGCGTATTTTTGTGGTGGTAGATCGTAAAAGTTTGTGGAGGGTGTTCTATCACCAATTCCATAGATTCTCCTATAGATGTGATACTTCTTTTTCTGTCTCTAAGTAATTGTTTTAACATGGGCAGACGGCTGAATGACAACCAATTAACTGGTCAGATTCCTAGGGAACTCACGGGTATCTCAAGCCTCAAAGTTGTGTAAGTTCAGCAATTTAAGCTTCATTTTACTGTTGTTTGTTAAATAGTGGAGCCAGTCAGTTCTGCGACTTTTCACCGTTAGCATCAAGATTCTAAACAGGCTTTCTTTCTCATGCTTTTTGTAGAGATGTCTCTAACAATGATTTGTGCGGAACAATTCCGACATCAGGACCTTTCGAACACATCCAGTTGCAGAAGTAAGACCCTACCGCCCATTTGTTTTGGCAGAAACTTGGCTATAATCTATTTGAAACATGATTTGCAACTTACTTTGTTATTGTTGTTCAGAATGTTTTCGTGTTTGTTACTATTTCACAGCGGCAGCCGAGTTTCTGTTTTCGAAGGATACATTCTCAGCCGCCATTTATTCTCATGTGGAAAACCGAATTTGCTTGTTGTTTTTGTGCAGCTTTGAGAACAATCCACGCCTGGAGGGGCCGGAACTGCTTGGCTTAGCAAGCTACGACACCAACTGCAACTGAATGAACCCGAACCCGAGCCCGAAACAACTGGGTTGACCGTGTAAGATCTCATATTAACCATTTACACTATCAATATATATACATATATATGAAGTATTAGATTATATATACATTATTAGAAGTAAGAATTGAGAAAATGTGATCCTATTAATGTCTCCAACGGGACCGAGAGCGTAAAAGAGGAACTCTGAAAACCCTCGTGTGCCTGCCATTCGTATAGCGTATTCGTCGGTTGTAAACTCGACCGTATGTACCCGTGTCTTTCCGTTATTGTAGCTTTAAGCTCTGAGTCTATTGCCTGTCTGGTTGGTTGTATTAACATAAAAGATTGGCTACACAAATGGATTTGGGACTCGACCGTGTGTTTAACCCTTTCCTATGGTCCTTAGGCAATTTTTGGTTACAAGGGTATTTCTCTATATTGACAATATTTTAAAAAAAAAAAGTTTCCAGATGATCTTGAAAAAAAAAAAGGTTTTATTTCTCCAATATCTAACATATATGTGTATGTATGTATGTATGTATGTATGTATGTATATGTTGGATACTCACTACTTGAATTATTTTAATTTCTTTTGTAAATCTTATAAATTTGTAAATAAAAATTGAAATGTTCCCATATTAAAACGTTAAAATTATAATTTATCCTCTATTAAATATAATCCTATGTCCGCCACTGTTGGAGGTGGGTCATGTCACGTGGCGCTCAGTGAATGGACCCAGTCCTCTTCGTGATATCATGTCAGAGTTGGAATATAAATCTACAGAGAGAGAAAAAAAAAAGCAGATGGGCCATTTTTGTAACATCTATTTTCTCACAGGAAAAATCTTATTCAAATCTGCATTAAATAATTTTATCTGTATAATATAATGTATATATATAATATATACACACTTTAAATCGGCAATAATTTTGTCTGTACCATATTTTTTTTTGTTTTTTTTTTCGGAGGCTAAAGTATGCAGTCTGATAAAATCACGTTTTGCAAATCAGAGAATAATAATTAAAAAAAAAAAAGGATATTACTACTATAAAATAACGTCGACGGTCTCTCACGAGAAAAGACCATTCATAGCTCCACCAAAGCAAAAAATAAAGTATTCATAATTTATCGAATAACAATAATAACTCATAATATGCGATCATGGCAAGGCGGGGTAGGGGATAATGGTGGGATGATACGGAAAATGCTTATGCATATTTCGATCATTCAATTTAATGTGGACCTTCTTTTCCGCATCATCTTCCCTCTTTTCTTTTCACATTTTCTTTTTCTCGATCGATATGAAAAAAAAATGTCCAAAACATGGGATATGTGATAAATAAAATAAAAAATAAATTTTATATTCGGAGAACAATATAAATGAATTAGAAATCTTTGTTAGGGAATGCTGTTGCATAGTTTTAATTAATGAAATACACCCTTAAAAAAATGTAGAAAGCTTTTTTTTTAATTAAAAAAAGAAACGAGAAATAATTTTTTGATGAAATGATGCAATTGTTGGAAAGAATAATTATAGTAGCAAGACGATTAAATACATGCATTAGTATATGAATTATAGTAGCAAGACGATTAAATACATACATTAGTAATATTAATAATAAATATTAATAATAAATTTGAATTCTTTCAACTAGAAATGCGTTCACGATAAGATAAATATAATATGATCAAAAGCAAAAGACAGAACACACGCACAACGTTTTAGAAGTGGAAAAATCTTTTTGGAATCAACGAGTTGGAAAGCATTCAAAATACGTGAGCCACCGCATAAAAAAAATTATATAATATGAGCGATAGAAAAGGGCCCCGAAATTTTGGGATCCTTTTTTTTAATAAAAGTAATTACTAATCATGATATATAATTATGGTGGAATAGTAATGGATCAAATTTTAATTAGTTTCCTTTAACTATAGAGCTTCTATTAAATAAATTACAGATTTATTTAAAACAATCAGAATTAAATATATATTAGAGTCATTACATATTAAAATTTATAAAAACTCAAATATTTATTTAAAAAACAAATATTATTTTTTAGATTATTAATATAATATAAAAATTCAATAAAGGAGACACGTACAATTACAAAAAAATATTGAAATACTATTCATGATTAGATATGTAACTATCAATTGTATATTAAAAAAAACGCGTTATGATTATCAAATTATTATCCTTTTTCTTTTTAGATTACAATTATTTATATTAATATTTCAATATTTTCATAATAAAATTATATTCTAATATTTTATAATAAAAATATATATTTTTAGTTTGTATAAGCCCAATTATTTTTGAGACGGCTCTAGATGAATAAGAAGGCTTCCACATAAAAATCTGGTCAAGAATATATTAGAACGAATATGGATAATTTACATTTGGTAGCGAGACAAAGACTAAGTATAATATGGTTTATTTAAAAATCATATATTATAAAAAAATACATAATTGGTGACGGCGAATCGAGTTGCATTAGAATAATGTTAGCTGCACCTCCATGGTTAGACATTCATCTATTACAAAATAATTTTACTAATATTGGAACCATCGTGCAGATTTAGTGACCAAAAGTTCCGCATATATATATATATATATATATTTAATAGACAAGTGGGAATTGCAACCCACTTCTTGTATATATGCTTCGATATTAATCATGGAGATAACAGAATTTAGCCCACAAAAAGATATTTTAATCCATTAAAAAAAAAAAGGGTAAAACCCTAAAAAAACCTCCAACTTGCAAAAATATATACAAATAAACCTTCAATTTGAAAAACTGTCATTCAATCCCCGAACTTGTAACTTGTCACTGAATAAAACCTCGAACTTGCAAATTAGTGTTCTAATAAACCTTTGATCGGTTTGACCACAATTTCAAACGATCGGAAATCCACATATTGACGGATTGCTGATGTCATTTTTCAAATTAAAATTGATAACGTGTATAAGGTGACATCAGCAATCCGTCAATACGTGGATTTCTGATCATCTGAAATTGTGGTCAAACCGGTCAAAGGTTTATTAGAGTAATAATTTACAAGTTCGAGATTTTATTTAGTGACAAATTACAAATTCGAAAATTGAATGATAATTTTTCAAGTTGAAGGTTTATTTATATATATTTTTGCAAGTTAGAGGTTTTTTAAGAGTTTTATCTTTAAAAAAATGGGATCCTAGAAATACAAAGACATTATAATATTTTTAAATTTAAAATTTTCAAATTCAATCAAATCTTGATTGTTGGTACTTGGTACACATGTCAGAGATATACACACATGTGAACATATATAGGACCAACCACTTTCCCCATCTCTCTCTCTCTCGTGTCACTGCCTCCCTCCCACATATATATATATATATATATATAAACATATCGCCATATACAGAAAATATCAACCCAAGAGGAATGGGAGCCATGGCGATGGTTCTGTGGTGGCTGACGGCGGCGGCTGCGGTGGTTGGGGCAGTTTCCGGCGGAGGAGTAAAGGAGTACAATTGGGAAGTGGAGTACAAGTTTTGGTGGCCGGACTGTAAAGAAGGAACCGTGATGGCCCTCAACGGCCAG